TATGACAATCTGGCGCTTCTGAATCAGCTACTGTTTTGTTATTAGTTTAAGTATTTGCTATTGACTGTTCAAATGTGGAGTTTTGCGCATCGCGTGTGTGTGTGTGTGTGTGTGTGTGCGCGCTGTGTGTGTGAGAGAGAGAGAGACAGCGTCACATCACAGTAGAGTCAGCTGTCTTAACCGCGGCTTGTGTACTGCATCATTACTGTGTCTGTCACTTCCCCTTTCGGGCTTGAACTGATGGTAAAACTAATTACATTATTTACTGTCTTTACATTTATTTTGAAAGATGAAGCTTGCGATTATGGTAAGGGGCGTTACATTTCCGACGAGTGCTTGCGGTGTTCGGCCAATCACAATGCACTGGGTCCGCTGGCCAATCAGAGTAGACTGCGCTTGTCGGAAGGAGGGACTTTGTAGAAAACGAAGCGTATGAGAGAGGCGGGGCATATAGGACCTACAATAATGTACAGTATTTGAAAAATAATGTGTTTTTTGAACATTAAAGCATGTCAACATATTCTGTTACACCAAATACACAAAATAATGATCTTTAAAAAAGCATCATATGACCCCTTTAAACTATAATTTTTCCTTTTATTTATCATGGACAACTATATGTCATTGACTGCTTTAATCTATAGGTCAAGTGTATAGCAGTCCATTTTGGTGAACATGATTTTGTTTTATTAGTTTGTCTTTACAATCTAAGGTACAGATTGAGAAACTTGAAGTAGAGATGAAGATGTTAAACGTTGTGAAATAAGGTGATGTCTAAATACATGTGTTCATGCTTCACAGAAGGAAGCTAAGATACTCATCCTGTGGTGCCAGGAAAGGGGGCAATGCAGAGAAAGACTCATCGACTGGTGAACTTCAAACAGAGCAACAGGAAGTTTCCATGCGATGGCACCACAGCCCAGAAAGCCCCCTTCTGCGCCGCCTGGGCAAGATCAGCTGTTCAGAGTGTAACAGTTCTGATGAACTCACGAACCCTCTTTCAGAGCAGGAAGACAGCGCTTATCGTTCCAGCACCAGTGAAGTCGCTCCACACGAATCACCGGGGCCTAATCGCAGTTACCCACTGCAGCCAAGGGAAGAATCAGCCATAGCTCCATCAATGCCAACTTACTCCAAACATGCACAGCGACCCATCGAGATAAAGACTCCACCCTTCCGTCCTAGAATTTTGCAGGAGCCATCACAGACAGCTTCCAGAGCCTCCGGTCGTGGCATTCCATCCTCGCACACCACCGCAGTACACAGACGGATGGAATTCAACGGCACATGCCCAAGCTCATCAGATGTGAGCTCAAAATCGGGTTCTGACCAGGAGAGAGGGGAGCAGGTGTCCAGCGAGCCTGGAGAAAGATCTTGTGGTTGGGATAAGCCATCTGCTTCAGTGTCTCCAGGATCTGGAGTGGCACTGACTACTTATTTCTCTGTGGATAATTGTATGACAGACACCTACAGACTAAAGTATCACCACCAGAGGCCGTTGGTCCTCTCCATGCCTGAGCCGAGAGGAGGTGTCAAGGACGGGAGAGACACAGGACACTCAAGCCGCATAGAGAGCCAATCTGAGCGTGCCAAAAATAAGCCTGACCCTGGTATGATCTGTTCAATCAGTCATTGATATATTATTATATTGCCACTACCATTCAAAAGCTTGGGTCAGTAAGATGGTTTTGAAAAGTCTCTTGTTCTCACCAAGACTCATTTATTTGACCAAAATACAGTAAAAAATGTAATTAATATTAGAATAAAACCTTTTTTTCAAGTTTAGCTTACAATTTTAAAATACAAAAAAATACAAATTTAAAGCTACGTTTTAAGCAGATATTACTCCAGTCTTTAGTGTCACACGATCGTTCAGAAAGCATTCTAATATGCTGATTTGGTGCTCAGGAAACATTTATTAAAATGTTTGTGCTGCATAATATTTTTGCGAAAACTGTAATATATTTTTTTCAGGATTCTTTGATTACAAAATGCAAAACAACAGCATTTATTTTAAATCTGTATATTTTCATGTTACATTTGTAACATTGGAAATGTCTTTACTGTCACTTGTTTAATTTAATACGTTCTTGCTGAATAAGAATTTCTTTACATCTTTCTGATCTCAAACTTTTGAACAGTAATATATGTATTTAATAACTTACTAACTGTAGTTAGTAGCTTAACTAAATTAAATGATCCTTTCCAGGCAATAGCAACAATAAGCCCACTGCTAAATGGCACCTTGTCACTTCAAAAGGGCTAGATGAACATGGATATTTGTGAAAGTTATGGTAAGTTCTCACTAAACCTTCAGATACGGTTTTATCTGTTGGTTCAAATCCAAAAATAATTTTTTAGCAATGTACTGACTACACTCTAAAAAATGCTGGGTTGTTTTAACCCAATGTTGGGTCAAATATGGACTAACCCAACTGTTGGGTTAAATTTTGGTTACATTTTTAAATTAGCTTTTTAACCCAACAGCTGGGTTAGTCCATATTTGACCCAACATTGGGTTGAAACAACCCAGCATTTTTTAGAGTGTATAAACACTTTATTGACTTTATTAGATATTGCATTAGATAATACAAACTAAGAATGAACTGTACATTTAGAGAATGTATTAATTATTAAATGCAATTGTTCATAGTTAGTTCATGATATCATATTTAGTTCATGAAAATATTTTATATAAATGGCTGTGATAAATATCAATCCTCTACTTTATTGCAGTACAATGTTTAAAACCTATATCTATGGTGTCAGTCAGAAATTTTCAAGAAGTTTTTCAATATAATTTTATCTGTAATGTAGTTTATTTTTGTCTGAGCCTGACAACCAGGCTCATTGATCAAATATTTTAAACACGCAAGCTACCCTGATAAATGAGAAGGATAATTTGTCATTTTACTGTTCTACATTTACAGCTTTCTATTAACTTTGTATTTATTGCTGTCTCATATACAGTGTAACATTTCATTAGAATAGAGCTTAGTGAACACAGCAAACATCAGTGCAGACATCAGCCATTTTTCATCTAAATAACACACAGCAGAGAATTGTGCTGAGAAAGACCATAAAAGAACATAAAGCAGTGAAACTGTTTTCAAGCTTTGGGCAGCCAAATGTTTTGCTGAGCCAAGCAAACTAAGATTGTTACAAGGCATGCAATGCTCTATTGTTTTGATAAAGAACATAAAACAAGATGGGCTAGTGGTGCCAGGTGAATTTGTTTGTCCTAAACATACCTTTGTTAAGGAAAAGGCAAACTATGAATAATAAACAAACACAATGGGCACTACTATTTTATAAAATTGCTTGAGTGATTTCATTTGGGACTGAATTGGAAACAGCATACTAGCATACTAGACGTACTATTTCTGCCATATAAACATATAGTTAAATAGTAAGAGTAGTATGCTGCAGGGTTGTTATTGTTAACTAAACCTATTTAAAATATTTTGTAAAATCAATATAAACATTAGTTGAAAAACTTAAAATTGTGCATTGGCTGAAATAAAATAAAAAAGCTAATAAAAAAAAAACGAATAAAAAGGACAATCACATAAAATCATTAAGCTAATTCATAATATTAATAAACACTATAATAGTAAATAATAATGCCAAATTAACACTGTGCTGTTCTGAATTCAGCCATTGAATGACTATCCATAGTTTGTGAAATGTTTGTGCTTTAAGATAATAATGAATGAATGGTTGTGTTCAGCCTTTTGACTGGTACTTTATGTATTTAAAAACATCCATTCTCCAAACTGCTTATTGTCTGTAGGGTCACATGTATTTAAAAACAATGCAATATAATCAGTCTTCTTTCTTATCAGGTCCTGGTGACCCAGTGAGAAGTAATGCAAGAGAATTGCCAAAGAAGTTGAAAAAAATATGTATTGTTTTTGTACTTGTAATTACAATGTATTTGTATTTGAGGGGCAGCATAGGAGAAACGTGTCCTTTTGTACCCCCTTCCTGTAAATTGTGATGTTCGAGTATCTTATAAAAGCCATCCACAGGAGGGCAGTATGCACTTTGGCTTGAATCAGTAGTTGCTTGTGAACAGGAATGACCATTTTATGCTGAATATAAAATTCATTGATGATCTTTTACTGAATTTTGACAGGTAACAGAGTATATATGTGACCCTGGAGCACAAAACCAGTATTAAGTCGCTGGGGTATATTTGTAGCAATAGCCAAAAATATATTGTATGGGTCAAAATTATAGATTTTTCTTTTATGCCAAAAATCATTAGGATATTAAGTAAAGATCATGTTCCATGAAGATATTTTGTAAATGTCCTACTGTAAATATATTAAAACTTAATTTTTGATTTGTAATATGCATTGCTAAGAATTAATTTGGACAACTTTAAAGGCGATTTTCTCAATATTTAGATTTTTTTGCACCTTCAAATATTGTCCTATCCTAACAAACCATACATCAATGGAAAGCTTATTTATTCAGCTTTCAGGTGATGTATAAATCTCCATTTTGAAAAATGTACTCTTATGACTGGTTTTGTGGTCCAGGGTCATATATATATATATATATATACATAACAAGAAATTGTCAGAGTCTTAAAGACAAAAATAGCAATTCTGTTATTGACTTTAATTTTATTGCAAATGGACCTTTGTACATACTCCCTTAGAGGTTGTTTGTGGAGTGCCTTCCTGCGGTTTTTTCTTCATGCAAAATACTGACATGATTCAAAATAAATGAATAATGTAAAATGATATCCACTATATATTTTTGGAGATGTCTATGCAGTTATTTTTATTATTTGTTTAATAAATTTCAAATGTTCAATCACTGGTGCAATCTGTTTCTTTGTACTGTATATTTATGTTTTAAATCTAAATGTACTTTCCTTCTAGAAAATCCACAATCATGCTCCAACTGTGCCGACTCAATGTATTTCTATTTGAAAAGTTAATCATGACTCATTCTGCATATAAATAAAACTGCTCACTAAAGGATGTAAAAATGGCTTTATTACCACAAATATCAAAACTCACAGTGCAAATGACACATGATTTACATACATGCTTTGTAACTTTAGGGCTGCCAATTGTTAAAACCTTTATTTTCAGGTTGAACATCCATGGTTACAACATGTAAAAGTTTCATATCGTCCCACTAGAATTGTAATTTTGAAATTTTGGGAATGCTGATGTCAATTTAACTCCTCTTGAAAATCCTCTTGGCCTCGACTCCTTCATAGGAATAGCTCTGTAAGCAAATAAAAAAAAAACTCAAAATGTTAGATAACACAAGTTTTGATCTGAGGCTCTGTCTTAATTCGTTATCAACAACAACTCACCTGTACAAGTTCATCACCAATAATCTTCCTGGTTGTTATTAGCACCTTTCCGTTGTCCTTGCGTGTGAAAGTCCCCTTAAGCATATCTCCCTCCATGACCCAGGATCCCTACAATCAGAAGGTCTATGGTCAGACTCACTTTGAACTGAGCAGTGATAGGTCGAGTTCACCGGTAACTGATTGTTTCTTCAGGAGGCTTGTATAGAGGGTGTTATGAAAGTTACATATTCTTGTCTGTCATTCAAATATTCAAATTGTAAAACTTTGTAGTTTCCACTCCATTAGAAAAGCACATTGATTAAGCAAATAAACAGCTTGCAACATTCAGTAAATGTGACACGTGACACTGATTTAACACAAAAGAGTTAATGTATAACATCACAATCCCATGTTATTGTTTGCATCACCATTCAGCACTGCTCAACATGCATCTCAAACTTTGCCCTTGATCACTTTCAGAAAACCCCTAAAAAGTGCATAGCAGTACCTCGCAGGTGTATATTAGTATCCAAAGTGTACATATTAGTACTGCCTCAGTGATTTTTTTTTTGCAGCAATGCCATAGAAAAAACACTCTCGGTCACCCAAAGAACCTTTAAGCTCTTAAAGGAACATGTTTTATTTAGTGTGAAGAACGGTTTATATAATCTAAAGAACATTTTTCCTCTATAAAGAACCTTTTTGTGCAGTAAGAGTTTCCATGGATGTTAAAGGGTCTTTATGGACTCATAAGGAACCTGCAAATAAGGAACCTTTAGGGTATATAAGACTGAAAGCACCTAAGGTCGTTGTGCTTACTGTGAGCTCAGTGCCGTCTGCCAGAGAATAGTCAAAGGTGACGCCCAGAGTAAAGTCAATTTCCAGTGTGCGGAAAGTGCTGACTTCCTTCACATGGAACTTGTCTCCGGTCTGCTCCAGGGTGATCTTCAGGTTGTCATGAGAAGCTAGTTTCCTTTTAACCATGTTGATGCCTGTTGAAAATATGCAGTGCACGTGCCCCTTATAAATAATGATTGACTGAAGCACTGACTGACTGAAATTCAAAGAATCTTGCAGCGTTTGCTCTCGGCTCCAACAATTCACAGGCGATGTTTAATTTGTCCACTTACCCATTTCTTCCATGAACTTCTCATAGTTCTCATTGCGGTCGACTTTCCAGGTCCCGTTGAAGGTCATGATGACAGACTGCTGTGATTCTGACGGCGACCTAACTTTACCCTGTGCCTGTCTTTTATACCTGTGCGAGTGACAGCACGCTGTCTTATCTAAGTATTATCTTCATGCTGATGTGGCTGAGTAAAGCTCACCGAGTATAAATCTCACCCTACCTCCAGGCTATACATTACACATCCCAGTATGCCTTGCGTCTTCATTAATTGTGCAAAAGAGTGGAGGCTTCAAGTCATTCCATGAGAACAAGCGCTCACTTGTATTGTGTGGTCAAATATTCACATGGCAGTAGTGGCTTTGTTGTTCGCACACAAAGTCCTGCTTTTGTTTGAATTGTTTGCTGTTTAAACTGTGTAGGGTGTGTCTGTTCAGTAGTTGTGGTTTATGTAGCAAGAACTGAGTGGTGTATTTAGGCAATGAATTTCAGTAAGTGTAATTTGACATCTATTAAACCTGTTGAGAACTGTGAAAGGCGAAACTCTTCGTGTTTGACATGACTCACCAGCTTACTGAGAATTATTCACTGTTACTGCTTACAATGATTCAAGTATTGGGTGAAAAGAGCTGTGGCATATTATCTGATAATGAAAATTTAAACTAACAATTCTACCAGACTTGCCAAATATGAAATCAAAGCACAAACATTTGGTGTGGAAGTTTCATCTGGAGACTCCATGACAAGATAAAGAGATATAAAGAGATATGATAATCTCTGATAATGGTTTATTTCATCATTACCTCAGTCTTATAATCTCTCAACAGGCCAATGTAAGAAGACCTTTGAAGACCTTTGGTATCATCCCATTGAAAGCGAAGATAAGAAAAACTCTAAACTAGTCTATTACATTTACGGTCTAAAAAAGTTCACAAAGTTGTGGTCATATGTTTGCCTTGCAGAGTCTGCAAAATAATGAATTATTTTAACAAAATAACGATCTTATTTTATTAAAATTGTTAATAAGACCTAGGCTCTTAGGTTCTCCAAGGCTGCATTTATTCTTATAAAATACAGTAAAGCGGTATTATTGTGAGGTATTATTACAATTTTAAATAACTTTTTTTAAATTTTAATTTATTTAAAGTATAGTAAATATTTAATTAAAGCTGAATTATCAGCAGCCATTACTCTTATCTTCAGTGTCACGTGATCCTTCAGAAATCATTCTTTTATAATTAGACATTTATTATTATTACTATCAATGTTACAAGCAGTTGTGCTGCTTAATATTATAATGGAAACTATTAAACAGGATGCTTTGATTAACAGAAAGGGGGGAAACAGCATTTATTTAAAATATACTTATATATATACAGTATATATATACAGTATATATATACAGTATATATATATATATATATATATATATATATATATATATATATATATATATATATATATATAAAACAGTATAGTATTGGCTACATACTTTTGTTCATTTTGATCGATTTAATGCATTCTTATTAAATAAAAGTATTAATTTCTTTCAAAAAAAAAAAATCTGGCTAACCCCAACATCAGTGCATATGCACAATTAAATTTTTCTGCATAATAGGCTAATTATGTGGTTTTACAAGTCATGCGCTTTTTTAAAGCCTCTGTGGTTCATAGACTGTAGGTATGATTATCTGCTTTTTCCTGCACAATTCTATGAAACATGAAAGGTTGCCTATTAATCAGGATGAAGTCATGCTTGTGTAACATGTGTCTAAGGAATTGAATGGATCACAAGATTTAGAGATCGTAAAGGAGGGGCGGGTTGTGGTGAGAAACAACAGACAGGCACAAAGTTAAATTTGTACTTGGAATGTAATTGTTCCTTTTGATATAAAGTGGAAATAATAAACAAAACAAAAGAAAGTAATTTACAATGTCATACAATAAAGATCAACTATTAAAACGTCTCAGGTTACATATGTAACCATGGTTCCTCGAGGGAACGAGATGCTGCGTCGGAGGACGCTTCGGGAACGCCCTTCAGCATGACCAGCTCTGAACCTCGTGTGTAATCAGACTAATAGATGGGCGAGACGTCACGGCCAGGTGACGTAATGACCAGGAAGCTATAAAAGCACGTACAGTGAGACCAGCGTCAGCTTCCAGGAATGAAGCAAGCGCTGGTAGAGATGCCGAAAGTATGGCCCCAAGACGCAGCGTCTCGTTCCCTCGAGGAACCATGGTTACATACGTAACCTGAGACGTTCGAGCTGTGTCAGAGGACGCTTCGGGAACGAGAATGCCCACGCCGCCAGACTTTCAAATCTTGCCTAGTGTGGAAGCGTGCACAGCTAGGGTGCGAGAACAGAGGAGCCAGGAGTGGCTCGCATGTCTAGGCCATAGAACCTGACGAAGGTCAGGGGCGTAGACCATCCTGCAGCGTCGCAGATGTCCTGCATTGAGACACCTGCCAAGAAGACCTTAGAGGCCGCCACACTTCTCGTAGAGTGAGCCTTGACCCTAAGAGGTCACAGATAGCTCGCAAGTGTCTGTTCTACCCGGGGCATCGTCTTGTAACCGCGCTCATTCATCCCCGCCACATTGCCATAATAATCGGAGGCGGGAATAAAGAGGCGGGCCGAGAACGGTCTTCCCCATGACTTCGACACCTCGGTGTGGAGGTCGGGGAAAAAAGGCAGGCTCCGGCGCGGAGGTGGTGGCTTAACACGCAAAAAACGCTTGTCTAATTTACTCTTCTGCGGCTCAGCCATTTTCTCGGTGGGCCACTCGATATTTAATTTGGCCACGGCACGAGTTACCACCTCCAAAAGCTCCTCATACTGGGGCGATTGAGGGGGCGAATCCTCATCGACGGCCACCACATCAACCTACTCGGAGGAAGACAGGCGGAGCGCCGAGCCCGCTCCCCGGGAGGAAGTAACCGCAGCGTGGGCTTCCGATCCCGGCAAGCGAGCGCTGGATCTGGCGGGTGAGGAAGAAGATAGGGACTCGCCCGTCTTCTTTCCCTCCGCCAGTTCCAGCTGCGAACCCCACGAGCGTAATCGCCGCTCCGCGGGGAACGCTAGCGAAGGCACCCTCCTCAAAGAGTGCCCTCCGGGAGCGCAGAACATGCATCACAAGACGCTCGCAATGCGAGCAGTCAGCTCTCTCAAGAGCTGACTCAGCATGCTCCGCTCCCAGGCAGACAACGCACAGGCTGTGTGTATCCCCACCCGTAATGAAACGTGGGCAGGGAGGAACACACAGTCTGAAACGCTGCCCACCTTCGCCCCTTAACTGGTGTTTCCTCTTTTCATGTGCTTTTGACATTGTATCTTCCCTATGTTTTCTTTATTTTCTATGGGAC